GTAGGAAGAGGTGAGATTGTTTTTAAAAATCAAGTTTCATTATTATTTGAAAAGAAAAACAAAATAGTTCTCAACCCATATGCGAGGAAATCCACAGACAGCAAGTTCAGTAGGTTCCTAAAAAGGTTCCCTGGAGAGAATTCACTGTCGTCGACAAGTGCATAAATAATTACTGCAAAATGAAGTCCCATGTGTCACAGTTATCTTGTTCCGAATGGATCCATTTTGAGTGGATTAGGTTTTCGACTGCCCCAAAGTTATTCATTCAAATTTTTAGTGTTTCTGTGATGTTGCTTTCTCCCATGGAAGCAGAACATACCTTATTCCAACCCCGAGGACAGAGGAAGGGATGCTGAGCTCTGGCTGTAAATATTTTATTATAGAGAGAGACAAAGATCACAGAGGGGCAGGCAAGTAGCAGGAAACAAATGTGATGTTGTTTCCAATTCCTCGGAGGAGGTTTATATTAAACTGTCTCTGACGGCTTGTTCTCTGCTTGGCTTTTACTCTGTCAAACCTGGTAATGAAACCCTTTGTGTATCTAGGGTTTGCCTATTAGAAGCGGAGCACAGCCTCTGGCTGAGGGTCTAGAATTTCCCACATTGTGAAGTATACACAAAGAGAAAGCTATTATAAAAACGGTACAGCGCTGAAGTGGTATTTTCAAGAAGGATGGTCCATATTAATTTCTTTTTGAAAGATTCCATTTTAGTAAGAATAATAAAAAGGTTAAAAGCTAAATGGTGTATTAGGTCTTCTCCATAAAACTCATTTTTCCTCCTCTTACCCCCATTGTGTCAGGGTTGTTGGAAGACTTTAACCTAGACGGTTTAGCATCTGTCATGATTTTATACCCATTCTGGAGTTCATTTGGCCAGAACTCAATATTAATGAGGCCAAGGACAGAGCTTATTCTCTTTGAGAGAGAGAGAGAGAAAAAAAAAAGTCTTGTTTTTCTAACATAATAACGCAGACCACATATCAAACCTACCATTCACAAATTTGCATCTCTGAATACAAAGGGAAGTGGATAAAAGGGTGAATAATGCAACAAACATTTTAAGATTGCATGACGGATGGGCTCCATTTCATCCTGGGTCTATAACACCTTAAAATGTATCTGCATCAGATATTCATCCTTGAATGTGTGTCGGGGGGAAAGGTGTGTAGGGTCTAAACCAGTGGTTCCCAACATGGGACACATACCCTACAGGGGGGCAATTTGATTTTTAAGGGGGGCAATTCGAGAATGAGTTATTAACAGTGAATTTTTTGCATTTCTTATTATTCTAGGGGCCTCATATACAGTATATAAATATATATTGTGGCATATTTAAGCATTTCTGTTCTCTATTATGTTTTGAAACTTAATTTGCTATTTTTTTCATATCACTTCATATTATTATTATTTTTTTAATAATTTCTTCCTCAGTACTTCAACTGTCCTTTTGTTCTTTTATTTCTCTCTTTCATGGATGCCATGTTCTTTGAAAGCTTAGACCAAGTTAATGGCCTTTTAGGCTTCCTCCACATGAATAGAATTCACTTTTTGAAAAATAAGAATTATATGTCACGGGCGGGGAGGGCAGGGAGGACATCAGGATTTTAGAGATGCTTAGGTGGGGCATGACCAAAAAAAGGTTGGGAACCACTGGTCCAAACTATTTGTACTTTATGGTTGATGGTAACTCTGTTCTGTCGTACATAGTAGAATCTTAGAGTTTTTTAGTAATTTACCAGTGAGCCCAGTAATATATGCATATCTCAGAGTCAGGTGCCATTTGTAATGAAGTTCTTGTTTTTCTGATTGAGCTGATGATCAAGGTGCCCAATATTGAGGGGTTGGTTTATCAGAGAATCTATGGGGGAAAAATGTGCAAAATGGCATATGTATGAAGAGGTTAGTTGTGTTTCTTTGATAGGGATATCTCTGTTCTTATAACACACACATCACAGCTCTGGAGATGCTTATTTTGCTGGTAAGTCAAAATGTGGGTGAAGTATAACTTTTTCAAATTATGCACAGGTGACAGGTCATGCTTTTAGGTTTTAAGAGTTAAATCCAGTTATCTAAAGTGCTTCTTGGGTTGCTTTTGTAATTAATAAAAACAAGAGCCTACATTTTATACTATTCGTTATTGGCCAGGAACGTTACATAGGCCATTTTCACTTTATCTCCAAATGGTGTGCTTCTCCAGTTTTCAGATGAATTGCCCCAAACCATGCAGCTAATATACGTTGGAGCCACATCTGTCAATTCTAAATCTAACCCCTTTTTCATAAAGGTTAGAAATATTAAATATTGTTAACATTACATATGAAATTCAATTGGCTTTTGCACCTCATATTAAGATGTACTTATTAATAGCTTAAGAATGGTATAGCTATTATCTGAACACAGCCTCCTGAACACTCAGATTGCTATATTTTAAGTCAGTAGTGGCAATGAGGCTCTATCAGAGATATGTAGATAATGGTTTCTTAGTGGAATGTTTAAAGAGAAAGAAATTTGACAGGAGAGTTTTAATGATGATCTAGATAGGTATTAAAGTAAGTTGATGGTATTTGATTTATTATTAACTTGGTTATTTATAGAATAAATAGAAAATTAAAAGTAATGCTAATTCTTGCAAAATAAGCTCAAACAAATATTGGTTAATTCTATATAAAGTGTAATAATAGTGTTATTAATGAAATATAAAAATAAGATGCATTCATTTCATTTTGTTTTTCTGGATCAAGACTATTTTTGTAAAATGTATTAAATTATGTTATTGTTATGCAGTAGACACATATGGCTACATCAATCTTGAAATTGTATTTCTTGACAAGGTGACTTCTCTTCTGATATTCTGAAATATATGAAGAGACTATCATAGGACTTTAAAAGAAAATTATGCCTATATTTTAGCTGATTTTGAACTAAATTTTTATTTTGTTTCCAATTATAGTTGACATCCAATATTATATCAGTTTCAGGTTTATAGTATAGTGGTTAGACATTTATAACTTACAAAGTGATGCCCCCAATAAGTCTTGTACCCACCTGACACCATACATCGTTATTACAATGTTACTGACTATATTGTCCATTCTGTACTTTCCATCCCAGTGAGTATTTTGTAAGTGCAAATTTGTACTTCTTAGTGCCTTCACCTTTTTCACCCATCCCCCTGTCAGGCAACCCATTTTGAACTAAATTAAAAGCGCATAAGACTGAGCTTTCAGAATCACTCTGCTAAGATTTCTTGTTACGTACACACGACGTTGCGTTTAAGCAAGTCCTACTGATCTGAGCAATGGTAGTTTGACACATAGGGTAGGCTTTTAAGAAGGTGATTTACCAACAAGTTCCTTTCCATGAACTACAAATAAATCGAGGTTAAATATAACCACTTTGCCATACTGAGAAGTAAACTTAATGGGAAAATCTTTGCAAACGCTTTAAAACATAAATCTGCTTTAAAATTAGAATTCCCATGGAACTCTTAAATATTTTTAAATGCACTAGAAAGTAGATACTTAAAGTGTAAAGCCTTCATTTTTTATGTCACAGAGTATTGGCATTTTTGCAGAAAATGCCAGTGTGCTAAGTGTGTACATTGTGCCTACAGTCAACTGATGCATATAATAAAATAAAAGCAGGTATTTCTTATTATGATCTAAGGAGAAAAATGGAGCTGTCTCCTGGGAGCAGTTTGAGTTTTCCCATAGTGAATAGGTGGACTATAAACCTATAATTATTTTCGGGAAAGTCTCTATGCACTTGTCTGAAAATTGGATGAGCAATGATTAATATCAGGAAGAAGAAAAGAACTAGGATCTGGAATGTGTCCTTTTAATAGGTTAGGAGAAAATAAGTGCTTTCAGTTCTTGGACCTTTCATAAACCCATAAAATCTGGATTTAGTCTCTTTCTACCCTATCCATAGTATTTGTTATTTACTCATTTAAATAGCAGTGCTGTGCTGAACTAGAAGCAAAGTTGGGAACTTATGGATCTACATATAACCTTGATTCAGCTAATGTGCATACAGTCTATCTTTATTATTTACTAGAGGCCCGATGCACGAAATTCATGCAAGCGTAGTCCTTCCTTCTCCTGGCTGCCGGCAGAGGCTTCCCTCTGGCACCCAGGACCCAGGATTCCCTCACCGCCCCGGCTTCATCTGGAAGGTTGTCCAGAAGGACATCTGGTCTAATTAGCATATTATACTTTTATTATTCTAGATGGATTTTTATTTGCAAATTCACCTTCTCAGGTTATTTGCATTCCTGTGCTTTTGTTGGTGATTCTGCTGTTTGAAATGGCTCCCCAGCCTAGTGCTGAAGGGTTGCCTAGTGTTCTAACTGAAAGGAGGCTGTGGGGTGCCTTACAGAGAGAATATATGTCTTAGATTAAGTTTCATTCAGGCATGCGTTATAGTGCTGTTGGCTGTGAGTTGAATGTTAATGAATCAACGATATATTAAATAAGGTGTCTTTCAAAAGAAACACACATAAAACCACAAACCAAGGTTATATATTGGTCCATTGATGGAAATTTGGGGGCCAGAGACAAGCAGAAACCTAATCCCAGTTTCCCCTAAAAGCAATGGCTCAGTGTTTTTGGCAACTTCATAGAACATAGCTACTGCAGACAATGAGACGTGACTGTATTAAACATGTGTGATTGCAAGTCAGTGGACTAGGCCCCAGAGATTCAGGGATCAAGGGCACAGTTCCCATCCCCATGGGGCTCCCCATGTTGGAGACATGGACTCGCTGTGGGATAACTAGAGAAAGATGCAGGCAAGGTGCTGAGGGGAGCCTCACACTGCCTGGCTGTGGTCAGGTAATGATATACAGAGCAGTAGCTGTACGCCAGAGGAAGTGATAGAGAGTTTGGAAAGGATGTACAGCATGCAGGAGAATGTGAAGTAAATGAGGTCATATGTTTATTTTTAAACTGAGCATAATGTTGGCGGGGTTCTGACTCATGGAGGTACCATGTTGTTACAGAAATACACTGTGGCAAAATGCTTCCACCTCTTGCCAAAATGGACACGGGGGAAAAATGAAGAACACTGAAGAGCTCCACCGAAGAGTTGCACAACACCAATAAGAGCCACACTCCTCTGGAGTCTGATTCATCCACAGCCATCGTAAAAAGGTAGGGGAATCAATTATGCTATCGTGTTGCCTTTTAAAATTTTATTGTAAAGTTTGCTTATATACCACAATGGAATATTATTCGACCATAAAAAAGAAAGAAACTTGTCTGTTTACAACATTGATGGACCTTAATAGCTTTATGCTAAGTAAAATAAGTCAGACTGAGAAACACAAATACCATATGATCTCACTTAAACGTGGAATCTAAAAAAAATAATAACATTTTAAAAACTGAACTCATAGATAACAGAGAACAGATTGGTGGATGCCAGAGGCAGGGGAGGGCATAAGGGGTGGGCCAAATGGCTAAAGGGGGTCAAAAGTTACAAACTTCAGTTATAAAGTGAGATTTCCTGGTATGTAATATACAGCATGGTGACCATCTATAATAATAAAAGCATAATATGCTAATTAGGCCCAGACAGCAGAATGACCTTCCGGACATGCTTCTGGATGAAGCCGCTGAGACGGAGGCTGAGGCAGAGGCGGTTAGGGGTAATCAGGCAGGCAGGCGAGCAGTTAGGGGCAATCAGGCAGGCAGGCAGAGTGGTTAGGGGAGATCAGGAAGGCAGGCGAGCAGTTAGGGGTGGTCAGGCAGGCAGGCGAGTGGTTAGGAGCCAGCAGTCCCGTATTGCGAGAGGGATGTCTGACTTCTGATTTAGGCCTGATCCCGGGCCTAAACTGGCAGTTGGACATCCCCTGAGGGGTTCTGGATTGCAAGAAGGTGCAGAACAGGCTGAGGGACATTCTCCACCCCCCGTGCACGAATTTCGTGCACCAGGCCTCTAGTAGTTAATAATACCAGGCTGTATATTTGGAGGTTGCTAAGAGAGTGTATCTTAAAAGTTGTCATCACAAGAAAAAAAAAGTGTTGTAACTATATGTGGTGAGGGATGTTAACTAGACTTATTGTGATTATTTCACAGTATATACAAATATCAAATCATTATGTCATACACCTGAAACAAATATAAGGTTATATGTCAATTGTATCTCAATAAAAAAAAAAGAAAAATATGCAATAGCAAAAAAGCAAAAAAGTACATTTATTTATTCAACAAATATTTATTGAGTGACTTCTATGTGCCTGTAAATTGTTCTAAGCACTAGGGATATGAGAGCGAACAAAAAAAAAAGGCAAGGGTGGGGTCTTGAAGGAGCTGACAGTCTAGTGGGAGGAGAAGAGTAAGTAAATAAATGCCAAAAAATTGGAAATCCATGCAGACATTAATAAAGTTTATGAACATGGTGAATAGATAATGAGATAGTGGGTGATTGGGGCTACTTTAGTTCAGGGGTCAGAGAAGGCCACTCAGAGAATTTTGAGCTGAGACTTGAATGATGAAGAGCCAGCTGAGTCAAGGTGTGAAGATCGGACACTTTATGTGCCATGAACCGGGATCTGGATGGATATGTTCAAGGCTCAAAAAGCAGACCTGTGTCGCTTTGAGATGGGATTTGCAGAAGCATGAGGTAGACGATGACATTGGTGAGCCCTTGAGATGTGAAGTTCATTTTACTTCAAAGGAGATAGAACCCTTGGAGAGTCATTCATTAGCTGTCACCTATGGAAGAGATAATGTAGTTGGCTTAGGGACGTGACGTTGGGGATAAATGGATTTCGAATATTTTGTATCTACTTCAGGTAGGTTAAACTAGATAACTGCCAATGCTTTCTATGAATCCCCAACATAATTCTAATTTTCATATGATATGTATGCTGTTCATTTGTGTTTCAATATACAATACTCAAATGGTAATTTACTTTGCTGTTTCAAAGAACAGCTTATGGTATATATGTTTGTGGCCTTGCTTTTGAAACTTAGAGGGGGTTGATGTCAAATTGTGAAAAGAAATAAAATTATTCCCTGAAACCTTGTGTTCTAGGCAGGTTATCTTATAACAGTGGTTCTCAACCTTCTGGCCCTTTAAATACAGTTCCTCATGTTGTGACCCAACCATAAAATTATTTTCATTGCTACTTTATAACTGTAATGTTGCTACTGTTATGAATCGTCATGTAAATATCTGATATTCAGGATGGTCTTAGGCAACCCCTGTGAAGGGGTCGTTCAACTGCCAAAGGGGTCACGACCCACAGGTTGAGAACCATTGTAATATAACACATGGCAACTGGAGCCTTCCAGAAGCTTCCTTGCCTGGTTTCTCACTTCTGAGAACATTGTTGCCCAGAAGAGGAGAGGTAGGCAGTGTGAAGGATGTTCTTTCTGATAAGTATTTCAAGGACTAGAGGTTTAGACTTCAAGAGTGAAACTTTATACTGGATTATTCCTAAGTGGGACATTGAGGGAAAAACTAAGATACTACTTAAAATTGGTGGTGATGACCTTAGCAGGTCGCACCAACATTTTAATAATCCAGCAACATTTGTTGGAGCATAAAACAACCACAATGTTTTTGTTCAGAAGAATTTTCATGATAACTCAGCCAAAGAGCTCAGCAAAGTACAGAGCCCTGCTTTCCAGTGCTCACAACTTTCTGAAATAGCTCTAAATTGGGGTGCTATACCAACCCTCCCTCCCTTTACCCCACACCCTATAAAAAGGCTTTAGTTGTCAGAAACCAGCCTCAGTGCAGCGATTCTACAGTGTCAGGCAATTAAAAAACATGTAAAGCTGTGATAAAGGCAAAGGATAAAGGATATGGTACAGCAGGAGCAAGCAAGCCTGGCAAACATCAGAGAGGACTGAGGCTTGCTGGTACAGCTCCCAGGGTCCTTTCTCCATCACACAGGATGCACTTCATTTTCTGGTCACGAACCACCAAAATACATGTGCGACACCTTCGTCTCAGGGGAGCCAAGGCTCAAGCTTACTGAGGGGCGTTTTATATCTCACAGCTCCAGTAGCTAAAAGCAGGCTTTGTGAATAGGTAAACAGGTTCAAACCATCAATCCATACAGTTTCACTAAACAGTGTAGACAAGCAGGTACAGGATGCCTCTGGGGGAATTTGGGACTTTTAACAGCATATTGTAAATCACTAGCTGGTGCATTTCACTTCTGTCTTGGCCAAGAATCAATACCATGGTTCCAGGTGCCCTTTAAGATAAGCACAGAGGTACCCAAGATCAACTGCAATTTAACCCTGTCTTCACATATTCAGAGAATTGAGCCATGTGAATACATCTGAGAAGACCTAAAAATGTTATACCATATTCTGTGGTTGGTCTTGTCATATACTAGGTGGGATACAACCTTTTGATTAGCTGGGGAGATCATTAAAAGGCTAGGAAGAAGTATTTTGTTTCTGGAGCAATAAGGATAAAATAAAACAAAGAGTAGTAGTGTCTTAGGTTGGATTCCCTACAATCAGATGGAAAGACAAAAAATTTGAATATTATTTGGAAGGTGATGCCAGTATGCTTTTGTAGGGAGTGGGGATGTGAGAAGGGAAAAGAGAGGAGATAAAAAAGGTGCATTGTCACTGCTGTAACCAAGAGGAGTATGGTCTCATTGGACAATTCTGGGATACGGTATAGAATATCTTGGATTTATCCTAACTAAAGACAAGGAAACGGGTTTGTAGCCACCTTCTCCCATCTGACTTGGATGAGGGCTGCTCCCCTGGGAGGAAGTGGATGATGTTAACTTCCAGGTATTTGTGATATACCATATATGTAGACCAAGGGGACTCCAGCAACCAGAGGAAGCCCTCAGGCAAAGAGACCTGAGTATTTGCCATTGGAAGCCACCATCAGGTCAGCATGCACAGAAATTAAAAATTCCAAGGGGATGTGGGTGGAGCACCTAACAGTTTCTGCTATAAGAAGTGATACAACAACAATGCTGATAATCAAGATCATGTTACTAGAGCTGTTGTTTATTGAGTAACTGTAAGCCATGTGCTATACTAAATGCTTATGTGCATTTTATCATTTAATTCTTACTTGTTGAGCATTCACTCTATGCCAAGTTGAGGGAGGTGGGGATATATATATCTTATCACTACAGTCCTGCAGCATATTCTATTCCAGTCTTCAGTTTATAGATGAAAAGATAAGGTCAAGCAAGGTTAACCTATTTCTCTGGAATAACACATATAGGAAACAGAATTGGGATTCAAACTCTGGTGTGCCTCCAAAATCATCCCTTGGGCATCATTGTAACCCTTAATTAAGCAATTAATTATTGATATTTTTCTGATTGAAGAGTTGGCAGTTGCTACTTATATTTTTGTCCCTATTCTTAAGGAGCTCACACATTTGTGGAAGAGAAATACAGGAAAATGTGTAGTGATGTAAGGGCTATAATGGAAGTATGCTATACTAGTAGCTGTCAGTAGAATCAAGAAAGGGATAATCAGTTGGTGCTGCCTAACAAAGTAACACCATGACCTAATGGCTCAAAACAATAAGCATTATTGCTTATGAGTCATGGGTTGAGTTGAGAAGGTCTCATCTGGCCAGGTTTTTGACTGATCTTAGCCAGGTTCACTCATTCATTTGCAATCAGCGGAACATTGGCTGGAGGACTGAATAGTCTACATGATTAGACATAGCTAAGCTCAGTTCTCCAGCAGGCTAGGTTTCTTCACACGGTGGCCAAAGAAGGTTTAAGAGAGTGAACTAGCCCTAGACAGTTTGGCTCAGTGGATAGAGCGTCAGTCCGAGGATTGAAGGGTCCCAGGTTCGATTCCATCAAGAGCACATACCTGGGTTGCAGGCTCAATCCGGGCCCTGGTTGGGGCACATGTGGAAGGCAATCAATCTATGTGTCTTTCTCACATTGTTGTTTCTCTCTGACTCTCCCCCTCCCTTCCACTCTCTCTAAAAATCAATGGGAAAATATCCTCTGATGAGGATTAACAAAAGAGAGAGAGAGAGAGAGAGAGAGAGAGAGAGAGAGAGAGAGAGAACAAAAGTGTGCAAGCTTCTTGAGGCCTAAGCTTAGAACAATTACTTCTGCAGCATTGTATAGGCAAAGGAAATCACAGGGCTACCTGGAAATAGACTCTCCACCTCTAGGTGAGAGGAGCT